TTTTTTTTATTCCCATAGAAAGAGAATTCCTGCAAGCTTAAAATTCAGCAGATAATGTTTTCACCTGCTTCAGTATTATAAGCTATTGTTGCTTCATTATTAGCCCATTTTTGCTGAAAATTTCCTCAAATCATCCACATAATGTGGAGTACATTTACAGTCCCGCCTTTTGCTTCTCAGTGCTATCAAACAGCACTTGTACAGCATTGTAACTTTTGCCCCATGGTATGTTACTTTTACCCCATTTCATGGGGCAAAAGTAACATGAAAATGCGCTTTTAAAAAGAGATTTCCTAAGGATCCAATTCAGATTTAAGTTCTGAAAGTCATTTTAATCTCTTGTTCACTGTTTGAAGAGGGTAGAAATCAATTTTTGTGGCAATGCTTTTGCTAGTATTTTTTATATCATCCTGCAAAGTACAATTATGTGTTTTTCAGGTTACTTTTGCCCCACCTCACCCTACATTCAGAACAAGGCAAGGTTTGCCTTGTTCTGAGGCATTATAATCCTTTGCCCTCATTCTTGACCCAATATTGGGGTGCTACTTGGGTGGGAGTGAGCATTCCAATAAGTGACATTACAATGTTGGCCCATGGTTCAACCAGTGTTGAATTTCAACATTCATCTGAGTATTCTGATAAGTGACATTGAAATATTGACCAAATGTTAAATGCAACACCACCACAACAGTGGGAAGGTTAAAATTTTAACATTCATACAACGCTGATTGAATGTTTGTTTGCTGGGTAGCTTTGCTTTTTCTTAATTTCTCTTGCTATAGGGGATACCATTTCAAGTATGGAAACGTTTGGAATGGGCATAGTTCTGGTCATTATGGACTTAACTCTCCAACCTGAGTGCTAGGTACTTCTTCTCAAGGATGGGTTAACCTACCCCTCTCTTCCTCATGAATTTTTCTTTCCACTGTAATATCACTGACAGAAAGACTAGTCTTCTGTATCCTTGGGTTCGTAAGAGCAGTAATATTAAAATGAAAATTAATTTCTCAAGGAGGCCATAGAAGGAGGAGGGCATGGAGGCCTTTACGGTTTACTAATTTCAAACCAGTAAATTTCAGGTCAAACATTTTTCTCAGTGTCCAGCTGCTATAGATTTTTAAAATATATATATGATGGGGTCCAGATCGGTACAAAAAAAGAAAACGGGAAAAACAATGTAATTCTTGCTTAAATTTATGTTCAATCTAGAAAAAAAAAAATCAGGCAGCTGGGAAATTCATTATTTAATGTGATGAATGTTTCATGGAAGTTCTTAAGGATTCCCCAGATATGCATGTTTACACTGTGAAATTGAGAAATATTTCTTTCGATGTATTTGGCTGTTGCCATGTTTTCAAGGTTTTTTCCATTGCATGAACCTATGCCTAATGATGTCAAATTTTCTGCAAAGTGTAGAAAAGGCTAATTCATGAGCCTATAATCCTCATGGTCTGCTACATATCAAGTCAGTGTTAAGCTGAAGTGTTATGCTGTTATCAACACTAATACCTCCTTCATATTGGTTTTCAACTCAGTTGGCTGTTATTGACTAATGAATTGATTAAGGAGTTCTCTGGAAAAGGGGCATATGTGCCAATATGCCCTTTTTCCATATCTGTGTCCATGTGCTGCTTTAGGATAGGGTGGTCAGCAAGTATTTAAGATGCATATTCAGCAAAGGAGAAGCTGACTTTCCTATGCTCTCACTATATAGCAGGCCAATTGCCTAGAAATTTCAATATGACTGCCTCTATGAATAATCATTAGCACTTGCATACTGAATGATTTTGGTTGAATTATTTTGTCCTTTTAAACTTAAAGTGAAAATGAGGAAGAAAGCAGACGCGAGGAAAGGGAAAGAAAGAGGCAGAGCCATTGAAGCCTCTGGAAGGATGTGAGGCATTGGAGATATCCATGAAATAGTTGCAGATTCAGATGAATACATTAATAATGAATCATTGCTGAGTAATTGGTGAATGAAACGTGTCTTGAATATTCACATTTTCGTTGCTATTCTTCAAGAAATAGTTTATTTTAAAGCTGTAGATGCATTTATTTATTAATTATTATTTATAACAGGAAAGAAAAGGTGAAAGACTCAGAAAAAGTTCCAGCTGTGCAGATATGGAAAAGGGGCTTATGTGCATAAAAACTTTCTGCCTGGATCCCAGCAATGTGAGAGAAAGAAATTCATTAAAGCCCCAAATTCAATAGGAAAAAGGTTTATGATGTCATTTGACTGATAATTAAGTTTTGACCAGCTTCAGATTAGCTATGGGAAGTTTTTATTGTTTATCTCGAATTGCATCTTTTGCACATACACCATTTTTCTAGAGAATTCCTCAATTATTCCACTAATAATGGGTGTCCAAAAATTATATGAACAATTTTGTGATGTCATCATTTCCAATTGTCAAAACGGCAAGAACATTCAAACCTGGCACTATTATTAGGAATATGAATGAGAGTTTATTGCTGTGTTGGTACCCCTGAACCACTTAAATTGGATGCATAGTGGGTTTTTTTTTAATGGCTTCCACCTAGCAAAAAGCTCTTTGCGTTCTGTGGTTTAATGAAACAATTAAGTGCAACAGCAGTGCCAAGGAAGTTAAAACTGAGTTTGATGAAGACCCTCCCTTGAGGACCTCCATTTATGAAGACACAATAAATTTCTGGCTCTCCTTATTTTTCTCTTGACCAAGCTCCACCAAGACTGTAAACTGTTTTCTTTGAACAAGATTTGCACATCTCCCCCATTCCATAACTCCATGGCATCATTATTTAAATGATACTTTTCCTGAGGTGGATTGGTAGAGGTGCTCCCATTCCTTGGCCACCAAGGTTTCCTGACCTGACTCACTGGATTTTCTCCTATAGGGGTGGGTGAAAGGCCATGGGTACATCCTACCCCTGCTAAAAACATTTGAGGAACTTAGGAACCAAACTGAGACAGCTATCATCGCAATGGTCATGCCAGACATGCTATCCCAAGTTTTGAGCAAGATTGAGAACTGATTTAACATTTACTGTGAGACTGGCAGTAACTGCGCCTAAATTTTCTGAAACTTTTCGTAGATGATCATATTTACAAGTGTGCCAATTTCGTGTTCTCACTTTTGTAGTTCCAAAATAGTGAAGTCACTGAATTGTTTAGATAATTTATGGACACCCTGTAGTTTCTTTGGATTGAAAGGGAAAAAAAAAAATATTCTCATGGTGAACATGTTTTATATGCTTTGGCCGGGACAATTGAAAAGAGAACATATGCATATTCACACAAACACTCATGGTATCCATTGCAACCCCTATGGTTTGAGAAATGGAGCTTTGGAAACATTTGTCAGATGAATCTTCTTTTTTCTCACCCAAACTCCTAGTTTGTCCATTGGTTTATGAGGGGCGTTCAAAAAGTTTCCAGCCTGAGAGGGAAGATGAACAGTTAGCACAACGTTGCCTTTTCCCTAGACTCTCCATTCAATGTCAAGAGGAAAACTAACATGTCCAGTTACCCAGCTAGTACTTTCCTTTTTCCACAGGTTTTGAAAGTGAGGTCACTTTCATGTTTTTGGAAAAATGGAAAAAATTGAGCTTCGTGCAGTGATTAAATTCTTGCATTTGAGATACACTGAGATAGTGACTGTTTTAGGGGACAATGCTATCTCCAATAACAGTGAAAATTTTGGTAGCTGCATGCAAACGCGGCAGGCAGAGCACAGATGATGAGTCACAGCCAGTTAGACCAACAACTTCAATCTCTGATGAGAATGTTGACTGTGTGGAGGCCATGGTGTATGCAGAATGGCAAGATTAGAGCTGGTAGTGTAGAATCTACATAGGACAACCTCCAGATGAAGAAACTGTCTATAATATGGGTGCCCAGAATGTTGAACCCAGAACAGAAGCAACATTGCCAGCAGGTTTCAATGCAGCTTCTTTAGCTCTACCAGGCAGATTTCTCTTCAGGGTGGTATCCCAAGATAAACATGGGTTCACCACTTTGATCCCGAAACTAAACACCAAAGTCTTCAGCAGAAAAACCCAGATTCACCACCCATTGAAAATTCAAGGCCATCACCTCAGTAGGCAAAGTCATGACCTCTGTCTTCTAGGATGCAAAGGGAATTTTCTAAGCGACTACTTGGAATGATTACAACAGGTGACTATTATGCCAACCTTCTTTTGAAGCTGAGAGAAGCAATCAAAAAGAAGCATTGAGGGAAACTTCACTGGGGTGTGCTAGTTCTTCAGGACAATCCACCAGCTCATGCCTCTCAGGGTTGCAAACACTGCTTTCCACCAATGTGGCTTCGAATTGCTTCCCCATGTCGATGACCATCTGAAATACATTCAGATGGTGATCGACAGATGGTTTGACCAAGTATAATAATTTTTTTCAATTGACTCATAAAGCTGGAATCACACTGGCAAAAATGCATTGCTGTTCCTCATCATGTCAAAAATGAAATGACAATTGTGTTCTTCAGACTTTGTCTTACCCCTTAGGCTGGAAACGTTTTGCTGAACACCCCTCACACACTATTGAGGTGATCTCTGGTCTCTGACCCCCATATTAAAAATATCCTATAAGGAGTGCTTTCTTTCAGGGCCCCCCAGTCTTCACTCCTCCACTAGCTTAAGTCCAAAAGATAGGAACTGATCCCATCACAAACTGTAAGTCTTCATCTATTCTGAAGAACGATGTAACAGACTCAGATGAAGCACCCAGGTAAGAAGGTGCAATACTTTAACCAATAAGAGGTTCTCCCTCTAGGCAGGAATAAACATTTAGAGGAGTTTAGGAAAATGAAGCTTCAAAGCATAGTATCATGGGATAATAGACAATAATCTTTATTCTTTAGCCTAGGAACAAGGAAGAAGACATAGGGAACCATCACAGACATGCAGTAGAGATGAGGCAAGGGCTGACATTTTCTCAATGCATATGACTGCCATATTTTATTGAAATTGTTCTGCTATCACTGTCAGAGGCTTGAGGACCAGTTTAACCACAAGCAAAGATGTTCGACAGATATCCCCTGTAATTAAAGAGGTCAATTGATTGAGGGTGACTATATTTACTGAACAAAATGCTGGTAATTTATCTTTTCAGGACATTAGGCATAAAACTTTTAGAAACTTCAATGATGGGTCTTGTTTTTTCTGAAAATGAACACATTCACTGGGACAGACAATAGGAATTGTCATCATCAAAATAATTATAACACAGCTGCACTGTGAGCTTTGCTAACTAAGAATACAGTGTGGAAGATGGATGATGCAATCTCAAGTGTCCTGGTCACTTCACAACACAATGAATGCATTATCAAGCAGAGCAAGGATGGGCTTTATTACTTTGTACTGAAGAAACCCATGATCTTTCATGCCTTATTTAAGAAATAAAATTTCATTTGCTCAGAACTTGTATAATCACCCTTTAATTGGTCAACAAAAGACCATGAGCAGTGACTTTGAATAGTAACTGTCCAGTCAGTTCCAGAAACCCAAGGAGGCATTCATGTGATCACACATTTGGGAGTATGCCTCTGAACATAAAACATTGTTTCAGCCTGGAGATAATCTGAAGGATCCACCAACAGTGGGGTGTACACTGAAGCATGATGATGTTACGGTACAAATGGCCATGCATATTTCTAGCCTGCTGTCCACAACAGGAATAAATACAACAATCTTTTCTCATCTCCTCTCTCCACTCGAAAGAGCACATAAATCATACATCATATACAAACAGAAGTAAGATGTCATTCACCTGTGGTTCCCTCTTCCTTGTGAGCTTTGTACGAGGTATGCCATCATTCACTCACCTCTATTCAAGAACTAGGAAATGTGATGCTTCTGATTTTTCATGAAGATGCACAAGCAATAGGACCTCACAAAATCCTGGTTAACTCAAACTGCAATGAAGCAGGCAATTAATACCTGGAAATTTCTGAATGCAGAATATCCCTGAGATGATGACCCCCTCACTGCATTCAATTACAGAGGAAATAAGGGAAACACCTGGATAAACCTCAACCAAAGGGGGCAATAAACTTGAATTAAACCCTTATTGATATTATTGCCAAGTAACAAAATCAAGAAAGGAATTTTCAGTGTTAATGCAGAGAAGCCCAGCTTCAGTCATTCCCAAGAGAATCAGATAAGACATGATGAAAGGGAAGAGCAAAGGGGGACAGTGATGCAGACAGATGGCAAAATGAACATGTGACATTGTCTTAACCATATGACAAACATGGCCTATTTAAGAAGATGCAAGCAGCTGTATCCTCTTGGGTGGTCGTCGTCCTTCCAGATCTGAATCAGAACCAGAGCTGTTGGAATCTGGAGGAGTGACATCAGCTGCTTTGGACCTCGTCGATGGGCCGTCACCTGTGGAACGCCCCAGCAAAGGAGAGATCCTCCCTGTTGACTTGGCTTTGTCCAGTGCTCGAACTAAATGTGGATATCAAATTTTAGGTTCAAAGAAGGTTACTATTGCAATAAGATAAAAAAAATATGAGCATTTCTCACTCTGTTGCTCAAGGATCTGGTTCTGCTTTTTCAGATCATCAATGTCTTGCTGGTGAGAGGAATTTCTCTTTCTCATCAACTGAATGTATTCTGCTGCCTTTTTCAGAATTGTTGCTCGGCTTGACTGAAACATAGAAAACCCAAGAACATAGAGATAATGCAGAATGACATTCCATTAAAAATTCAGAAGTAACTCATGCTGTGCTTCCAATTACTTAAAAATCTATACACCAAGGTCTTGATCCTTTTACACTATTCTGGGAATTGAACATGAAAATTGACTCAGAAAAAATCCACTGGGCAAATTTAGAAAAATAAGGTACTCATCTTACCCTGAGGAATTTTTTGGAGGTCTTGAGTTCTGTTAGCACTTAAAAGTCACAATGTATTATGTACTACATACCTCCTTCCTGAGAAAACGAATTAGAGAAAAGAAATAAGCAAAACAGAGTCTGACTTAGAGCCAAAACAACTAAACTGATTTCAACATGTGAGGACTAGATGAAGAGGATGGGCTCCTTTTGACATAGGTGCACTCAGATACTGATGATACTTAATATCAAAAACACACAAACTGACCAAGAGCAAGAACTATTGAATAAAACTGAAAAAACAAGGTATAGTTGAACCCACTTCACCCTGGCAGTGTGCTTTTTGGGATTTCAAATACTGTTCTGAACTTCAAGTATTAATTTAAATAACTTGAATGCTCAAGCACACAGACATACAAAGCAAAAGCCATTGGATTGATTCTGACACATGGGGTACCATTGGCAATTGCATCAACTCACTTGACCCTTTGCAACTAATATAAAACCATGGTCATCAAACAAAAATAACCATGGGGGATCATGTCCTTGAAGGCAATTGAGCAAGACACAGAGATAAAATCGAATGAAAATCACAGTATTTGTCAGCAAATATTCTTCCTTTTTTTTTCAACCATGGAGAAAATTTATTTAATCAAACATTTAAAGGAAGACTGTGGGAACCTAGTGCTGATTCTTGGTCCTGAGATCAGAATAAGAATCACATTCTGGGAATACCAAGATCTATTTATGAATGCTGCATGGAAAATGACCCTTTCCACACAAAAATAAAGAAAAACACCTTTTTGCAATTGCTTAATGTTTCACCAGGGATTATTTAATTACTGATTTTCTAGTCATACAGTTCTTGAAAGGAAAAGGGGAAAACATTATTTGTTTCAATATCAATAGGCTAAACCAAAGATATATCATCAAAAGAAAACTGATGCTCCTTGTGCTCTACCTTTTCGCCTTGCAAGGAGGGAACGCAATCTCTGAGGCTGCTGAAACTGTCCTTGATGTGATCTCGTCTTCTTCTTTCCAATGCATTGTGGTGAGCTCGTTTTTCTGCCTGGAATCATCATGGAAAAATCAGCTCATGAAAGATTTCTGCTCATATTTAATGATGTTTCATATGATATGCAATTTAAAATGTCTTACCTGAGATTGATACTGAATATTGGTTCTTCCTGATGCCCCATCATATGAGTCCAAGGGTTCATCCTGGAACAAAGGGACAAATGTCTATTGGTCAAACTAACCCTGCTTTGACTTCAGGGCCAAGCTTGTGGCTCCAATGCAAACAGATGTAGTGTATTCTCAAATTTCAGATTGGGAGAGAAGTGCATCTTAGCTTATTTCTCCCAATATCTTCCTGACACTAACCCCTTAACTGGTATTATGCCTTTTAACATCATCACATAATGCTCCCTAGATGGGTACGATGTATATATATACATCATTCTATTTTTAAAATTTTGTGTTAAACATAAACTTGAAAGTCGTAATTTGAGAATAAACTGGAAAAAGAGTACCGTATTTTGGTATATATACATTACTTATTACTCTCACAAAAAATATCCTCACTATAGAGTAGACTTCTAATGAATTCCCCAGTGAAGGGGTTAAAATTTAATTTAGCAGTTTAATGACATTTAGTGGGCTAACTGTATGGCTAAGTAGGGGAGAGATGAAGTGAAAATGGGTATCAGTGGTGGTGCCTCATTTCTTATCAACCCTGGACTTCCAAAATCCTAAAATACATATTTAATAGTCCTAATGTCCTGGATCTTCATTCTCTGCCTTAGAAGGCAAGCAGTTACCCCAATCACCCCACTATAGGTTGCTTGATGTGCCCTTGCTCTTCAGGATGACCAACTTGACAGACATGTCCTTGCCACCCTCGTTTTCCCCCCAATAGCCAGTGCCAACAACTCACAACTTGAGAATACATATCACAATTTTCAGTTAACATTCATCATGTCAAACTCCTCTGTTCAGTTCAGAGGAAGTCAGGAAGGCAAATCCCTTAATTTTTACCAACCGCCTTTCATACTTGTTAACACTCCCATAGCTTATTTAATTCAAAGGGTATGAGGAACACTTCAACTATAGTCAAACATGGCAGCAAAAGGGTTAAGTTAGTTACTCTCCTTAACCCCTTAAATAGTCAAAGGATTGTATACTGCTAAGGGACACTCCCTTAAGTATTATTAGGTGGCCTGAAACTAGTGGGCTATAATAATTATGAAAGTGCTGAGCTGATTGCAGATGACTTGCTTTATGGCCTCCTTCACGGAACAGGCAGAAGCCTAGCTGTGATCACTTCTATTAAATTTTGAACACTGTATAATAGACCTAGGCACGTTGTTTTCATATATAATGAAACAAATTTTTCCTGTAAGCACGCGCTAAGTTTCGGCGCGAGCCATGTCAAGTTACTTTGGGGCTTCTAGCTTCGTTAACGCTACCTTGTGTTACACGACTAACATTTAGCCTATGCCTCTTTTCGTAGAAAACAGGGACCTGGCCTATATTAGTCAGGAAAAGGACTCACATCACTGTCGATATCGATATCCCGGTCGTCGTCGCTCATTGTGGTGTATGCGAGAGAAAAAACCGGTTTCCTTTAGGTTTAGGCGTACCTTAAATGAAAGGGACAACGTGATGTCAATGCGGGAAGAAAGAGTCAAGATGGCGGCTTCCCAACGCCACGCGACAATGGCTCACGTGGGGATACTGGCTCAGCGCGATTATGACCCTCGAGCGCATTCACTTCATATCCTTGTCAACACCCATCGCTTCGATATATTTTCTCTCCCTTCTCACCTCGCTTGAAAAGGAACTCACGTAAATGATGGAATTTCGATGGAGGACAAGCGTTTCCCTCGGGAACTTTTTTTTCATATTAGGCATGGGGTCATTACCCATGCGTAGGAATACATACTGGAAGTGGCGCGCTCAGGTCCGTTTCCTTTCAGACAATGGCTGGTTTCAAAACAAAATTTCATTTTCAGTTCGGTGCTAGTTTCACTTCAGATAGAAGTTACACTCTGCTCTCACCGATTACTGTTGAAATAAAACTCCAACTGCAATTCACTTTTTAAATCACCCAAAGGCATTTTCCAACCTTGGCTAATCCTTGCTTCTCCCTCCCGTGCTGGTCTACAGCTTTTTACCTTCCTCTCATCCAAACTGAGACCAGATGTCAATTTGATCCTATCATCATGCTGCAAATTGCCCTTAGACAAAATGTGCAGATTTCAAATGATCCAAAATTTGAGGTCTCTGGAGAGGTCCTCCGTTTTCACGTTCAAATTTCCGTCCGAGCGGAAGGTATCCTCTTTTTGGCTGTCTGAAACCCTGGTCTCTGATGGAACTCCCTCAGAAGCGTGAAGGTCGTGGGCAGAGCTTGTGTCCGAATACCCCATGATATTTCTTGCCAGCACACGTGCTTTTCTTCCTAGCTTTCTGCAAAGCACATTTAATTCTCTGCATCCCGAAGCATAGCTGATACCCACCACCAGCCATGAATCCTAGTGTCTGTTGATCATTAGCAGTGGTCAACTCAGTTGAAAGTGGCACTTGATTTGCTATCTCATCCAATTTTGCTTAGTTTATAGCTTTTCTTCCCCCCCCCCCCCAATTTATAGTCCGTGTAAAAATACTTTTTTCAAAAACTGGGTTAGACGTCTAGGTATCTTAATGCACCACCAATCTCTGACTGTGACCAGCATAGAAGTAGGAGGATGAGGTGAGATAGTAGTGACTGGGAGAATACAATTTCAGTACTTCAGTCAAGGAAATTAATGAAAGATTGAATCTTAACCCAATAATTTTAGTTCATGGGCAATTAAATTGTCTGAAGCAGGTTTGGGATGATCTACATAAAAACCCAGCTTCATATTTTTGGCTCCACCAAATAGGGAATGACATTGCTGTATCAAAGCTCATCGATTACTCTGAGGAGCAAGTGGGTCTTCCATGCTTACTGTATGTCTCGCATTAGCTGGATGAATTATAGCAAATTTGAGCAAGAAATGAGAAACCAGGAGACAATGAAGCTGGAGCAGTGACACTCCCTGCTGAATTTCTTCCCCTTAAGAATTGTTTGGAGAAAAAAAGGGAATAAAATGGTACACAACTACCTCATCCAACTGACTTTCCTTTATCCCTAATCATTTCTTTATTTCCTTGTTTCCTTTCTCAGAAATCATCTCAAACACCAAGCAATTGGAGCCATACATAACTACCAACAGAGGGGTAACTTAGTTTCATAGCTCCTTGCTTATACAGAGATCTTCACGAAGGCTCAATATAGACCGCCACGGAGAGGTTTACAAAGAAAATCCAAAAGAAACTCAGCTTCTGCTCATGGAATGACTTCAATTAACCCTTGGAAAATGTTCAGGTTGCACCTTTGGCTGCATTTACCTTATATATGACATTAGTTCCAGGATCCGAGTTTGTTCAGGGTGCCTAGATCTTGCCTAGGGTCAAATGAAAAATCCTAATGGTCTTCTCCAGCAATCATGGGTCTCTTTCATTAGTAACCATTTTGGTCCTTTCTTAAGTTTCTGTTGCTGTCATTTTCTTTACTAATGCCTTTCTTGGTGGATTTGTACCATACACATGCCACTTAGTGGTGCATCATTTTTCAATAGATTTTACCCATAAGATTTATACATAATCATTAGCAGCATGGAAAATATTCAATGTCAATTTACTTTAATCCCATGATGCTTTGCTTGGGGTAATAGTAACACTGCGCTTAGCAGACAATGTAATAAGACTTGAGTCAGATTTTGTTAATCAGTGATTTTTTTTTTTTTACCAACAAGGTAAAAATATTTTAACCCAAACATGGAGCAGCTCAAATTACTTAATAGTAAAGAGGAGAGGCATGTATACACACAAAATGAGAAAACTATAGGGTCTCATGGCCTGTAAATGTAAGAAAACAGACTGTTTCACTTTCCTTTTCCTTTCCTTTTTCCTTTCCTACACAAAGATGCTCCTCAGCAGCTATTTTTTCTGTAAGCTCGCACTTGCAATACTCTCTGGGTACTACAAATTTTTGCTACCCCCAAACTATCAAAACCCCATGTAGAGGAGACCATGCTTAAAACATGTGTAAATTGCCACATCAACATGTGAAAAGGGTTTGGAGAAAAAAAATAGAATCTTGATCCTATGGGACACCCCATGTACAGAGTTCCCATATGATTCAAAACACAAAAGAAAAAAAAAACAACACATCTAACACAGAAACTTGTTAGCACTGCTTGGGTGCAAAACTAACCCATACAGAATATTATTGTTTCTGAAAGTAAGTAAATAGCATTACAGGCAACTCAGGTTTAACAATACAGTGACCCACCTTCAAAAAATAAGAAGACAGTAAATTGTTTAACATTTGTCAATATCCAGTACAAGCAGTGTTTTAATGCTGCTCCTGATATCTTATATGACAATGCAAGTGAATGGTGACATCAATCAACATTCAAAAACATTTTTCACTTAATGATACACAACTGAAGCATGAAAACACTTGAAGGATAAAACAAAATGGGAGTCCAAACAATTTTCCTTCCAATTATTGGAACAATTCAAGTCTTTCTGAAAGTTCCATTCCCCCTGGAGCTGGGAAATCAGACTCATGACTTGGCTGCTACACCAAGTGGATTACTGATGATGAGAATCACAGAATCTCCACGGAGAAACATCTTAGAGATGTATTGATCTTTATTGACAGGCTTAGCCTTCTTCTTTCCCTTTCCAGCACGAGGAAGTTCTGTCCACATCTCCTTCACTTGCTCCAGAACCATGTTGCAATGACGGTCAAAAGCTTTCACTCTGGCAAGAAGTTTCTTGTTGTTGCGGCAATTGATCAGAATCTGTAAGGAAGACAACCTACTTTCAATATAATGGTCCTCTGATTATTTATATCAAGTGCTTGTGTGAGTGAATTCAAGCAAAAGAAATGTCTCTGTTCAACCATCTCATAATTCCATTCATCCTTCACTGCGTATCATGAAAATCTTGGAGGAAAACATTCAAATTTTGAATTAATTTCCTTAAAGGTACAAAAATAAAATACATTGCATCAAACTGTCAACTCAGTCATTAAAATGCAATTTGGGACTTTTTGCCTAAATGGGAAGAAATTTTAAAAAGGGAAAACTGCAACAGGTAGAATTTGTCAGACAAAGACACGAGATAAAGATATGAGGCAACATATCATGACAAAGCCTTTTTGGACATGAAATAAACTAAATTACAAATTTGATCAAATCTGCAACAAAATAAGGCAAAAGGTCTTTCACTTAATATTTTCAATATGCTCCCGGTTGGTAACAAACATACATTTAACGAGTATTAATGATCTCAATTGAGAACATAAAGGATGCTTCAGAAATTCCCATTCACCAGTGTCTTTGGCCATAATAAAAAAAAAAATTATCAAGGTTTGTCCATGTCAGGAACATGATGCAGTAAAGGGTTATATTTGACATGCAGTTGGATTATGGTAAGAACATCTCACAGCATAGTAGACCTCAATGGCAAATGATATGGGAGTTTGAATTAGTTAATGGGGTAAACAATGGCACCAGGCCCTTCAACTTTTGAATGTTATAAACCTGATTGGCATAGCTGATAACATATATCTACTTCCCTTATTTCAGATTTAAAAAAGCAAGCAAAAAAATTTTTTTATTGAAATCACAAAAACTCAAAAGCACTTTAAATATAACTTCATCCATGCAAGGACTTCCTCCTCATACATGGTTCAAGTGGGAAAATTACCAAATAAAGGATCATGGGACTGACATTTTTCAAGTACCAGTAATTCGTTTTTTCAACATTTTCCCACAAACTGGAAATATTAAGTTAACTCTGCAGATCAATTTCTTCAATCCTCTCTGAATTGTTGGGGTATGCTTGACAAAGGACTGCAAAGTCTTAAGATGGCAGGAGCACTTGAAATGACTTGCATAGGTTCCAATGTGGAATAAAACACACAAGAGATACAATCTTCATGACTGTAAGTGAAATCTTTCAGCTAGAATGTTCAAGATAAGAGGATAAAGGTAGCATTTCCAAATGTATCATATTTACTTGTGTATAAGATGCATTTTTCATGCATATTTTTTGTGTTTGATGAGAGGGTACATCTTACACTTGGGAAAAAATTCCTCTTTTTCAAGATTTTTTTCAGTATACCTATAACTCATTGGTCACTTATTGTGGCAGAAAAAGTGTCAGTAGTCAGTCAGAACAGGGGAAATACAGGGTGGCCCAAAAGTAGGTATACAGTATAGTTTATTTGCATTTTATTACATTGTTTATTACATTTACATTTGTTTAACACTGTTTAATCTCGTAAGTGCTTGAAATGTCTTCCAGTACTGCTTTAGAATCCACTTTCTTTGTTCTTGACTCAAGTTCGCTGCCATCATTCACAATATCTGTAAAGAAAAAGAAAATAAAAAAAAACTAAATTGTATACCTACTTTTGGGCCACCCTATATAATATTATAATAAAACAGTAAAGAGGGAATGGCTATGGCAATTTGCATACTTCATTCAGTATCTGAAATGGAACCCAAGATGTCTGGCAGTGTGGAAAATTCATTTGCAGAGCTCTCTTCCTTCTTCGAAGGGCTGTTCCAGAGACAATAATTTCTCATGGAAATTTTTTGAGCCACTGAGGTTTTCTGATGAAGAGAAAATCCAACTTTGCTTCACAAATCATGCCATTCATCCTTATGATGCATTGAATCATCGATGGGAGATTCCATTTGCTCTTGCAATTGTACAGGTTCATGTCTAGATCAAGATAGTTTTGCACAGAAGCCATCCTTTCCAGACAGAAAACCAGCAAACCAGCAAACAGTGCCAGAATGAAGCCAAATATTTAAATGCTATGCTTCATGGAGGTTTTCATTACAGAAGTACAGGCTTATCCTTTTTTGTGTTCAGCCACTTTATTCTTGATTACCGGAAATTATCCCTTTTTCCATACCATGGCCATGAGATTCTCAAGTGCCCAGATCAATTTCGCCTTCACCTAGATCCCCCCTTCTGTATATAGCTTTCCTTGATGTTATACTTACAACCTATTGCAGGGATGCCCAACTCCTTTGCTTCCTGAATCGCTTTGATTTCTCTGCTGCTGTGTAACTCCACAGTACACTTCCATTTGTTTCCATGGATAATAAAACAAATTTTAGGGATAATGTGCCCCCTCTCAATAGAGGTCAGGGCAGTAAGAAGCTAGGTTTGACTGACCTTATGACCAGCTTCACCCCTTCCTCATCTTTCTTACCCAACACTTGATGCTGCAAAATAGGGGGGGTTATACACTGGGAATCTTTTTCTTAATATGAATTGGGACCTCAAAAGCAGGTGTGTCATACACAGTGGTGCACTATACTCTAGTAAATATGGTATTCACAGAGCAAGGAAGCGAGCAATCTGTAGGCATGGGCCATTTTTAACACCATTGGCAAAGTCAAACCTCTCCTCTAATTCCTTGTTTGCTGTAGATACCTACTATTTTTGGCTTCTCAGATATACAGCAACTGTCCATTTCCTCAAGAGAATGCAATCCTATGGTCCCTGAAGAGTCTAGACCTCAATCTGGTAGGTTATGCTATCCTGAGAGTGAGGGGGAGATCAGCATACTCCAAAATCAAGAAAACCACATTATCCATTTTACATGAAGCCTATTAGGTAACAACATTCACATTTTCAGGGTGTGGTAGAAAATCATGGGGAACACATCAATAAATATTTCGTTGAATCTACTGAATTATGAAACATAGGCATTAATGACCATGATGAATTTGACCTCCATGCTGTTTATGCCATACACTACATTTTGAATGTCTCCCCTTTTTCTTTTGGTCCAACCTGTAGTTGTCAGATCCCTGTCACTAATTCTAAGCAAGTTGCATGTTCAATTCAGTATTAATGTGTATATATTTTAAAATGGAACCACATCTATGAGACAAACTCAAGGTTGGATAAATTCCTAGTTTAGATGGCTACACAGGCTTAATATTTTTTCATTTTCACAAGTTCTCTGGCAATGGAAAGGGAAGAATGTGCTAATTGGAGAAAAAAAAAAACAAGCATGGCTTGATAAATGATTCTCAATTTAAAAAAATGGGGCTGTCACGATGCCTCCTCCCACCAATCATGGACAAAATCATGGAAGACAAAAATAGGTCCATGTCCTGATCCAAGCAAGAAATGACATCATTCAGCCAATTGCAACAAAAGATGACTAAATATGCTGGCCCTGATGATGAATAGCACCACTGATAGTTCAGATTGATACATTAATGTATTCAAAGCAGCCATCATGACAGCCCTGAAAAGAAGTAGAACATGGTTTCCTAATAGACCTATTTGAACAAGGATTAGATATCAAGTTCTTGCATTCTTTACATTGCACAATCAGCATCAGTGCCAACTGATGGGTACGAGATCATAGCTGACCATCAGCCAGTATGTCCATTTACCACCTATGAACATAAAATAAGGTTGGGCTTCATGCAGTCAGTAAATAAAGTTAAAACATCACTGCAACCTAGAAGAAAGTAAGAAAACAGGTGAGACAATACATGCTAAGGTTATTCTCATTCTATTCACAGTAAGAATGAATTGGAATAATCACCTGAGAATTATTTTTTACAGCTTGCGTTAGAACTGACAAGGGTCCAGTATTGAACTCCTCCTGCTCCCTCTGGGCCAATTCTTCAGGGGTCATCTCAGACTTTGGCTTAGCCATCAATGTTGACCTGTGAATCAATGGGGATTGGCATTAGACCAAAAACCCACAAGCTAAGCAGCCTAACTTCAAGGTTATTTGGCTCATGAAGATAACATATAACAGACCTACAGAAAGGCAATGCACTCTCAGTGAATGTTGGATTCTTTGGAACACTCCAATGAAATTATCATTACAGTAAAAATAAAAAAATAATAACATTTGCAAATGAGTTTCACGCAATTTTTACAACATAAAGCCTTGTGTCCAGGCCTTCAGGATCATGATCCCATGCAATTCCTGTTCTACTTGGAATATAATGGAGGTTAGGTTAGGGTGGGGTGGTGTTTATTATATATAAAAAGGAATCCCAGTTGATGTAGTATGTTTCCAGTTCAATTCATCTGGAAACATTGGAGACTGAAAGAGTGCAATTTTGTTTGGGGGTACACACTTAGCACTTTCATGGTGGAGAAAGGAGAATGACAAGGTATGTAGGTGCATGGGGTGGCTACTCTTCCTGTGAAAGCTAAAGAGCGGCATTCTCCTAGCGATTGCATTCATCCTCTATTGTACCAGATAATATAAACTACAAATTACATGCATTCGGAAATGTCCATAACATCACCTGAAACAGAATGGATAACTTTTCACAAGCACCGTAAAGGCGTGGGTTGTACAGCTAACGTTACAGGCTGAGAAAATACGTGAAGGAAGGCAGGACACTGCTCGGGATACTGAAATTGTCGAGAGTTTTATCATTCTCCTAACACGGTCTTCGTTCATTTCAGTAGCGTTGGTATGTTGCGCATCTCGTACAGGCCTAACATCAGGTCCAGGTATAGCCTAAGGTCAGCCAAGAAAGTAAGAGCAAAAGCCATTCAAGACTAAAGAAACTTACGCCATCGTGTCGAATCCCTTTTGCACAAACTTTCAGAAAACTGCACTAACTTGGCTCCGCAAATGACAATGACGGTTCTTCCGGTGGAATAGTGCCGGATAGGCACAGCCAGTTTCGACAGTGTTGCATAAACCCATTTGGTGAATTGGCATGTTAACAAAGATAAACAAGTTACAGCGATCATATTCTGTATGTATTCATATAGGGTCTCTTTGTACCCATCCTAAAAGTAAGAAGGTTGAAGTACGGTCCTAAAAATCGTAGTCCAACCATTAGGGTGTACCAATAGTCACATTTAGCTAGTGGCCGATTGTGATCTCATACCCATCGACCGTACCGGTGCCCATTATGGTCTGTAGATGGAGAAGAAGGTAATATGAAATCGCATGGCAATTCAAATATTTAGAAGCCATGTGACACTTATCAGTGGGCTTCCTTGAAACGGTAGTGACCACTTTTAGTCCTGTCCAGCCTGTATGTCTGTGTCTGTCAGTGGTTAGCTTGTTAGGGGCCGTTCAAAAATTACGTAACGCAAGGGGGGGAGGGGGGATCGGACAAAGTGTTACGATTTGTAACGGGGGGGGGGGAGTTGCACGAATGTCACGTAACTGGTTTTTTTTCATTAAAAAAAAAATTATGCGACTGGAATTTCTTATTAGAAGGTTAATTGTTTAGTAACAAATCACTCACACGACACAAGAGCCAACCCTACTGCCCACCCGCACCCACTACCCTTACTAACAGTGGAGTGAGCATTGGGAGTGTGAGAACGTCTGTTGACTTCCCTCTCCCCTGTTGCAAAACTGGCACCATAGAGGGTTACCATAAACAAACCATGCAATGGAATCATAAAACCTTCATGAATTCTGCTTCTTTTAGCGCAAAAACCATTGATCCAATAAAAAAATTAAGAGTTATTACAATTTAAAAATAGGGAGTGACATTCCGAACACCCAGTACAGATGTCAGATAGATGCACTCCTCCTCTCCAGATAAAACTATGACGACGAGAAGGAAAGCAATATACAGGGTGCATATAAAATTACTACATGTTTTAAAATTGTAATGACTTTTGTAATTTTTGGACTAGAACAATGGTTTTTGTGCAAAAAAAAAAAGAGAGAATTCGATAGGGTTTTAGGCCCGAATGCACATGTCTCATTTAGGAGAGATAAAGGGGCTTTTAAGCTAAAGAGCTCTTTTGGGAATGGGTAACCTCTATTTAACAAAAACGTCCGTTAACTTAAACAAGGTTTAAGCTAAAGAGCCCTTTTTCGAATGCACAACCTACCTCTAACTTAAAGCTCCTTTATCTTCGAATGCGCAAGCCTCCTCTAACTTTAACGGACCAATGGAAAAATGGCAGATATTGTGGCTGGTTTGTCCCTTTTTCTATTCTCTTTTCATTTCGTCTGTCCGCAGTTGCTGTTGAAACATTAGAATTTGACACATTGCTCACGTGCAGCATGGAGTCTGGGTCGGAGTGCCAGTCATGGGCGTCCGCTCCCAGGGGCAAGGGAAGGCACTTGCCCCCCCCTGGAAATCGGGCATGGCAATTTACTGGTAGCACTATAAAAGAAATTTAATGTACTTCATGTGGAAATCTCTTCTTCCATAGCACCATTTAGACCAATCGTGCCACGCAATATGAAACATCCAAACGAATTAAAAATTCAACTCAACCCATCTGGTCCAGAGGTTCCGGTAACACTACTGCTCTACATAACATCGAGCCAAAGCTGAAGATCGTACAACATGGAATGCAAGTATCCCAGGCTGAATGGCTATTTCATGTAATTTTTGCAGTTACATTATTTTCTTTATAACCAAGGTGCCAGTTGTTTCTCTTCGAGAAGACCCTCCCAGCAAACAAGGCTATGTTGTACCAATGTTACAAACGTTGATTCAGCGTT